TTCTGCGAAGGTCTTGCTTCTGTATTCTTAGGTTTACATGAATGTTCCCTTAAGTGTGGCTTCCGGTAGGTGTTCCAGTACTCCTGACGCGGACTGACCCGTAAACGCTTTGATTGTACTAAGTGTCGTTTTGTGTTTTGGAGGCGCGTGATCTAACTTTTTTAAATCTGACTGCCGCCTCTGTGATGACTGCTCGCCACCATGAACCACCTTCTACACCTTTTCTTTTAGCGGTTTTGTTGGTGACACTTAAAGTCCCTTGTCAGGGTCTACGTCAATAGCCTGCCATGAGCCTGGATGACAGACGGCTTCCCCATTCTTTGAGGCAGTGATGTGTGCACTGTATTTGATTCCCTTTATAGTAAAACTGTTCAATTGCAAAAAAGTTGACCAATCGCATTTTGCCCCTTCCAGTTGGAAGTCAAGATGCTGAATCTGACCGACAAGGCGGACGAGTCAGAGTCCCGAAAGCGCCAACTACAGGAGACTGTAGACTCCCTGAACGCCGAGGTCGCAATGCTGCGGGCCAATGAGCAGCTACTGTCCGGCGCCGGGGCCTCCAACCAACAGATTCTCGCCGGCCAGTCCGAAATCCGCGAGAAGATGGAGGAGAATTTCAAGCGCCAGAGTGAACAGTATGCGCAACAGACGAAACAACTTCGTGGCGAACTGGACGCCAGGGACAAACGCAATGAGGAGCTGAAAGAGTGCGTTGTCTATTTTTCTCCACACAACGTTTCATGCAGCACTTTAGGCCCTGTGTTTTTACAGATCATAAAAGCTCTTCATTCTTTTATATGAGTTAGAACTCTTGTGGTATTTTTCTATTGCCCAGGTTGCTTTAAACCCCCTCTGAACCCACTTAGTACATGAAAAAGATTCCCGTTCTGAGAATGTTTTAAACTGATTTTCAGTAACTTGAAGCCCAGTCAGCAGAAAAACAGCGGCTACTGATATAGGCAGACTGGAATGGACCGTTTCTGACTCATTAACCATCGTCAGCCGGTCATAGCAATCCCTAGGTGGCACACCACCTGAGGCTCGAATCTGCAACCTGTTGACTAGACCTACAACACGCCAACTATTGGGCTACAGGCTCGTTGTCTTGATGGTTTATGTTATAGCCCAGTATTTCGTACCCGGCTAATAGGCAGAAGAAGGCAAGAGAGCG